TTTTATTGAGGTAAAATTCTCATAACATAAAATTAACCATTTCAAAGAGAACAATTCAGTGGCATTTAGCACATTCACAATGCTATGCAACCAGCATCTCCATCTAGTTCTAGAACATTTATTTCATCACCCCAAAAATAGAATCCTGATCCCCTCAGCAGGCACTCTCATTCTCCCTCCCCCAGAACGTTGACAAATACTAATATGCTTTCTGTTTCTATAAATTTACCTATTCTGGGTATTTCATATAAATAAACTCATACAGTATGTGACCCTGTGTCTGATTCTTTCACTTTATATCATGTTTTTGAGGTTCAATCATGTTGTAACATGTCTCAGTACTTCACTCCCTTCTATAACTGAATAATATTGCAATATATGGATATACCACCATTTGTATCCATGCATCCATCAATGGACACTTGGGTTGTTGCTATGTTTTGGCTACCGTGAATAGTGCTGTTATGAGTGTATGCATAAAAGCATTTGTTTTATGTTCTGGGAAAGAAAACCTTCAAAGCATAAGATTAAAACTAAAAACTGTAAAGGGAAATATTAAGATTTAACTGCATTCATATTTAAAGTTACCATATGATAAAGAGAAATGAGCATACATAAAAGTTAAAAGACAAGTGACACCCTAAGAGAAAATACCTGCAATATATGGCAGGTGACAGATTAATATCTAGGACAGAAGTCAGCAAACTAACGCTCACCGGCCAAATCCTGAAAACTGCCTCGCTTTGTAAATAAAGTTTTACTGGAAACAGCCATTTCCCATTAGTTTATGTATTGTCTACAACAGCTTTTGCACTATAAAGGCAAGGTTGCAAGGTTTCCACAAAGACTGTGTGACCTACAAGGCTAAAACATTTACTATCTGGCCTTATATAGAAAAAGCTTGTGGACCCCTGACCTAGAGTATATACAGAATGCTCCTACAAATCAATGAGGGTAGAGGTAGGTGGAGGAAACTAACCCAATAAAAAAAATACAGGCAAATAGTAACTGGCAATGCACAAAAGAAATAAAACATTAAATAAATATTATAAAAAAGGGGTTAACCTCACTGGTAATTATGGAAAATATTAAAGAATGAAGTAATTTGATAATACCAATCCTGGCAATGGTATGACACAGCCATTTCAGAAAGGCAATTTGGTGCCCTGGCCAGTTTTGCTCAGTGGTTAGAGCATCAACCCTCGGATCAAAGAGTCTCAGGTTCAATTCCAGTCAAGGGCACATACTTCGGTTGCAGTTTGGTCCTCAGCCCGGAGGCAGCCAATCGGTGTGTCTCTCACACATCGATGTTTCTCTTTCTCTCTTTCTTTTTCTCTCTTTCTCTCTCCCACTCTATCTGAAGATAAGTGGAAAAATATCCTCAAGTGAGGATTTAAAAAAAAAAAGAAGAAAGGCAATTTGGTGATATCTATTTTAAAAAATGTAATGCGCTTGATGTCAACACAATCGTTTTTTTAAGTATTTGCCCCCGGAGAAATACTTGCATTCATGCAATCACACATATACCCAAAAGCATTTAGAAAGCTATTCCCTGAAGCATTCGCTGTTTATAACAGCAGAATCCAGAAGTAACCTTGCAGTCCATCAATATTGTGAAACTATCACACACACCTAATTGTACACTATACAAAATGATTGTGGTGGGTTTTTTTTATCCTTACCCGAGGATATTTTTATTTATTTATTTTTTTGATATTTTGTTCAGATAGAGTGGGAGGGAGAGAGAGAGAGAGAAACATTGACGTGAAAGAGACACATCAAGTGGTTGCCACCCACATGACCCAACCAGGGCCGGGGACAAACCGCAACCGAGGTACATGCCCTTAGCGGGAACCGAACCCAGGTCTCTCCAGACCGCAGGCCAACTCTCTAACCGCTGAGCCAAACCGGCCAGGGCGATTCTGGTATTTTTATATTTAATACCATGAAAAGAGTTTTAAGACATGTTGCTAACCAGAAAAAAAATATGTTGCAAATATGTACAAACAGAATAGGCTGAAAAAGGCTTTAACTGTGTATTTGAGTCCATATGTATGCAGGAAACGCATAGAAGTGAAGGACCACCACTACCCTGTGAACGAGGGCTGGGACTGGAGGATGCCATGACAAGTAATAAAGGGCTGTTGCTTATTACTTATGGGGGATCACCCTGAATTCCAGTGGTGAGGAAAGACTGAGGAACTCCTCTGCCCCAAGCCAGCAATCAAAGGTCCCCTAGTGGGATACCCAAAGCCTGCTCTCCAAGGAACCTTCTGTAACATAACCATCCTTGAGGTGATTCTCCTCACATGTTTATGGGATGGCCACTGCAGACCCTTAAAATGAGTAGGGGAAAGAAGCGTAGATGAAGAATCCTAGCTGTGTCCCTGCACTGGGAAAGCTGCTCCCTTCTCTGGGGTTTGTTCTTCTCATGGTTAAAAATAGTTTAGCTGATCTTAAGTCTCATCCAGGTCTGATGCTACCATGCTATCCCTGTAAGAGATTTCCGTACCTCTCTGGGGGGAAAAACAAACAAAACCGACAGCTGTGGAAATAAGCTCAAAGCAGAAGGCTGAGAGAAATGTCTGCCCCTGACATGATGACACCCCAGGGTAAGGGCTAACCTCACTGCCTCACTGATCTCAGTGTCCTCACCTCTGAAAGAGGGGGTGGCGCAATCATCCTGATCTACCTTCCAGCCTGGATGGTCTAAAATAAGCGCAGGGCGGGGAAGGGAGCAGGAAGCAGGGACTTGGGGGAGAGTGATGGGAACCAATTGGCTGAGGTTTTCTCTAAAGGAGCCATGAGGATGACGGTAAGAAGCTGGGGAATGGGGGTGGCGCCGGACGCAGCAGTGAAGGCTGTTGGCAACAGCCCTGAGTCTCCCTCCTTTCAAGAGCAGTTTCTTCCTGAAAGATCCCAGGAGGTCGAAGGCTGACCTCATCTCTCCCAGTACAAATAATCCCACTCATTATTTCAGAAACTACCCTTCCAGTTGTGCCCTGAAAGACTCAGGCCTGTTCTGAAACCTAGAATTCAACCCAGAATACAGTGAAAGAGAAAAGTAACTTTAAATGTGTGACCCCACTCCTTTGAATCAAATTAATAATCAACAGATTAAAGTAAATTTTAACACATTCTATTCAAGTATACAGATTCCATTCTAGTTTATCTAAGCTTAAGAATCAGAAAACAGGCCCTATGAGATATAAGTCCCCAATTTACCAATTTTGGCAGTTACCTGGCATAACCAGAAGCTCTCTCAGAACAACCCTTATCAAGCTCAGGAACTTCCTAAAATCAAGTTTACTATTCTGTACGTGGGTTTTGTTTGTTTGTTTTTAAAACTGGAAGAAAAAAAAAATCTAGTAAGATATCCCTTGCTTATCACAACAGCCTGGTGAGTGAGGTAAGCCAGGATTCTCTTCTCCCAGTTTATAGAAAAGGAAATGAACTACACAGAAGCAAGGGGACTTGCGAGTTCAAGGTCATGCAGCGGAAAGTGACAGCCAAGACTAGAACTGAGGTCTCCTGACTGCGAGTCCAGGGCGCTCACCACTACATACTGCTTCCCAGGAAAGGCATCCAGTTGAGAAGTGGGCTTCTCCTTCAAGAGCCCAACCCGTGGCAGAACACCTCAGGGACTGGGCCTTCCCAAGCTGACCTGGGCCTCCTACCCTAACAATCCCAACTTTGCAGCCTTCAGCATTTGAGCATCTGGTTTTACAGGAAAGGAGAGTTCCCCTGGCGGTGGGGCACCTGCCCTGGGAGGAAGGCTGTGTCCCAGGCCACAACTCCTGCCCTGCCACCCAACTCTTGACTCCCCTCAGCCACACAAACGCGGCAAACCCCAGGAGCACTTAAGCAGCATTACAAAGAGCCCGGCGGACTTCAAGCAGTGTCTTCCTTCCAAGGGGTTCTTCTGAAAAAGTAGGGGATGAACTAGGTCTCCCAAGAATGAATGTGAAAGGAGCTCCCTTGGTCTCCTTCAAGGGCAGGACAGGAAGCTGTGAAGAGGATGGAGGCTGGGGGGGGGGGGGCAGACACACCCCCAGGGGATGCAGACAAGGCTGGCCGGGAAATCCAAGAAACCTGGAGTCCCAGAGCCTCCCAGGACTCCAGAGGACCCGGGACGGACCCAGGACACCGGGAGCTCAGCCAGCGGGGACCACAGCCCAGCTCCTGGGGAGCTGTTACCAACACAAACCCCCACCTCCTAAATCGCTCCCGGGATGGGGCCCAGGGCTCGGTATTCGCAGACGCTGTGGCTCGGGGCCGGTGTGGGACCTAACGCACTACCGTCCTAAACCCTTCGCTTGACAGACAGCAAGGAGAAGGGGACAACTTTCCCCAGGACCCCTCAAGCCTTGCCCAGCTCCTTGAGAGCGGGGCGGGAAGGAGCCCCCAGCCCTACCACCAACAGAAGGCCCTCCAGCTGGGGCTCCAGAGGACGGCCGTCCTCCCAGACTTCAGGACCCCAACCTCCCTGCAGTCACCGGCAGTGACAAAGGTACAGGAACGGGCAGGCCGGTCTGACACGACGGACAGGCACGGCCCCGCCGGTCGTACTCCCACTCTGGGTGGACAGTCTGAGTCCAGTCCTACGACAGACTGGGGGGGGGGGTCCCGAAATCCTCGGCGCTTTGTTCGTCCTAAGAAAAACCAGGCATTTTTTGAGTCAACCGAAAAGCATGAATCACACGGAGGGCTCCGGAACGGAGAGGATGTTATTTTTCGGCATACTTGAGGATTTTCCCTTTGTCCCGAGCCCATCAATCCACTTCTCGCCCTCCCCCAACTCCGTCCTCACACCCCCGGGACCCACGCACATTCTCCTGCCCCCCTTTCGTTTTCTCGGGAGCCTCCAGGCTCCCACCCCGCCCGCCCCGGGGACAGAAGCCGCGCGCCCCGCACCTCCGGCCGGCGGGGTCGCCGGGCGGCGGCCGCTGCGCGCGGGCCGCGGTCTCGTCCCCGCGCCGCCCGCACCCCCGGCCGCTCACCTGCGTCAGGTCCTCGTCGTTGAGCAGATGCGACTCGCGCGGCTTGAAGCAGTTCTGACACTTGCTCTTGTTGAAGATGTTGGCCTGGAATTTCCGGCACGGGTTCTCCTTGGCCGCCGACATGGTCGGCGCGGCGGCGAGGCCCGACGGCCCGGCCCGGCTCCGCGGCGGGCGGCGGCGGGGCGCAGGCCGGGCTCAGCGCGGGCGCCGCGGCATCGCCGGGCCGCGGACGCAGGCCGGAGCGCGCCCCCGGCGGGCAGGGCGGCCTGGCGGCGCCGGGATGCGGGCCGGGCCTTGCTCGGATGTCGGCGCCGGCTGCACGGCGCGCCGGGCCCCGCGCCCGCGCCTCACAGAGCGCTCGGTCCCCGCCGCCCGGCCGAACAGCCACCGCCCGGCCGTCGCGGGCCCATGGACGCGGCCTCCGGGGTCCGCTGCCTCCTCGCGCGAGGGCCGCCCCTCAGCAACCGGTCGCTGCGGGTCCCGCGGTCGGTCCCGCCGCCGCCACTGCCCCGGCGCCCAGCGTTCGCAGCAAATGGTAGCGGAGCGCCTCGCGCACTCTCGGGGCGGGGCCGCTGGGGGGCGGGCGGGGGAGGAGGAAGCACGAGGGGCCGCGCGCGGGGCGGGGCCGCGCCCCGCCACGATCGGCGGCCCTGCCGACCAATGGCAGCGGCGATCTTCGGCTAACAAAGAAACCCCTCGGCCAATGGGAGCCAGGGGCGGGGACCCAGGGCGGCCGGGCGCAAGGTACCTTGTGCAGGCGCGGAAGGTGGGGCGCCGGGCGGGACGCTCAGGTTTGGTGGACGGGTGCCGAGGCCGGGTCCTGACAGCTGCAGGGGCGGGGCGGGACCGACCTCCGGCGGGCGGCCCGCCGCCAGCCTCAGTTCCCACGTCGCCTTCCCGAGCGCACGTGGGCAGAGGCGCCGCCGGGACGCCGCTAGTTGGCCACCTACTGTGTGCCACTCTACCCCCTCCATCGTGCAAATCCCGGGCAGCATTCCCAGTGCTTCACGTGCACTCGAGGTTCACAGCCGCTCCGTTATCGTCCCCATTTTACACACAGGCAAACGGAGGCGCAGAGAAGTTAAAAAAGGGGAGGTAGGCTTCCAGAGGGTGACTAAGGGACGATGCCAGCCTCCTGGAGCCGTCTATGAAGGGAGATTAGTAAAGGCTGACTACCCAGACACCAAACGGGATTCTTGCCCCCACGGTGTGCTGGGGCTGAGGCTCAGACGCCCGAATTAACTTGGTGCACCTGGAGACGAGGGTAAAGGCGGCACAGGCGGAAGATTGAGGAGTCCAGAGAGAGCTTTGGTAAAATAGGAGTCCTTCAAGGAGGTAGGGAAATTGAAGCAGATGGTGAGAGGTTGAGGAGGAAGGAAGGAGCAGGGCGGATGAGGCTAAAAGGATTCATGAGGCCAGATTCCCTCAGGGCCTTGGAGTCCAAGCTCGGGCATGTAAATGTCATCCTGCTAGCAGCCAGGAGCCAACTATGGGAGTCTTTAAACAGGGGGAGTGAGCTAACCCAGCGCTCACGGAGGAGGTGACATTGAAACATGTGTTGGTAGTGGCCCGACAGCAGCTGTTGCTTAGGGAATGGCAAGTTTCTAGAAGTAGCAAATGCTTCCAGAGCTGTGTACTTTTCCACTGATCATCTGGTGACTATCCTAGGGAGGTAGATTTCAATGGAGTAAGAAAATACTTTCCTGCAAAGGGAACTACAGGAAGGGGGATCCAAGTCCTGGGCAGCCTGAGGGAGAAAGTACAGCTCTACCCCTCACAGGTCTGTGGCCTTGGGTGAATCCCTTCACCTGCCTGCTGCCTCCGTGGCATCATCTACACAACTGGCATGATTGGGTGGTGGTTGTGAGCAATTACACGACATACTGCTGTAAAATACTGAGCCTAATGTGGCAAACTGTTAATTTGTGAATGGAGACAAAGGGTGTTTATTGTACCATTATTGCAACTTTACTGTTGGTTTAAGTTTTTGCAAAATAAGTGAGGAGGTGAGGGGCTGGGAAACAGACAATTCTTGCTTGTGTAGAATACCCAGAAACTGATACCAATGGTTGCCTCTGGGGAGGGGAGCTGGGTGGTTGGGAGGTGACCTACTTTTAATTTTCACTGTAAGCCCTTTTGTTCCCTTTGGATTTGGTATTGTGTGAATGTACACGTGTTTTAAAATAATTTTTTAAAGTCCTATCCATGCCTCAAGGCCTACTCAGTGATCACTTCCCTTAAGAAAACGCCTGGCATGTTCTGCTCACGTCAGTGGATACATCCGGCACTTGCCCTGAGCAGGAGGGCTCCGCAGCTGGAGGTACACAGAAGCCTTTGACTCCAGCCTGCCTCACACTTGAACAAGTGGAAAAACAGGGGGCAGACAAATTCAATGTGGGGTGTTGTGGAGATCCATACAAGGGCACCCCCATGCATATGCAGATTCAAGGATGACTCCTTGGAGGGGGCAGTGCCTGGGCTGAGTCGAGCTGAGTAAGACCCAGCCAGGAGGAGGCAGAGAGGAGACATTCCAGACAGAAGGAGCTCAAGGTAGAAGCGCAGTGCCTTACAAGCAGTGGTTGTGTCCGTGAACACAAGCACCTGGGTATTCCTGGGTAGTTCAGAAAGAGGAGAATTAACAAGCAGGATGATTGGGAGGATTAAATAGGTGGTGCATGGGGAGGGTTAGCATATGCATACGAATATCTATTATGACAGGTTAGAGCTCAGCCTCTTCAGGGAGATAGGTGGTGTTGTTGTATAATCATCTTTTTTTTTTTTTATCCTCACCCGAGGACCTTTTTTTTTTTTTTTGGATTTATCTTCAGATAGAGTGGGAAGGAGAGAGGGAGGAAAAGAGAGACAGAAACATCGTGTGAGAGAGACACATCTACTGGTTGCCACCCACACAATCCCAACCGGGGGCCGGGGACAAATTGCAACTGAGGTAAATGCCCTTAACGGCAACTGATCCCGGGTCTCTCTGGACGGCGGGTCAGTGCTCCAACCGCTGAGCCAAACAGGCCAGGGCACACAATTATCATTTTATCTCCATTTTACAGAAAACACATATGAGGCTCAGAGTATTTAAAGAACTTGCCTGTGCTCAGAATATAGACCCTCTAAGTGAGGCTTCAAGCCCACACAAGCAGGCACCAGAGTTGCCTGGGCAATGGAGAACCACAAATGCAATAATTTTTTTTTTTTATCCTCATCCGAGGACATTTTTCCTTTTTTTTTTTTTTTTTTTCAGATAGTGTGGGAGGGAGAGAGAGGAAGAGAGAGAGAGAAACATCGACGTGAAAGGGATACATCGAGTGGCTGCCACTCGCACGACCAACCAGGGCCGGGGACAAACCGCAACCGAGGTACGCGCCCTTAGCGGGAACCGAACCTGGGACTCTCTGGACCACAGACTGACGCTCTAACCGCTGAGCCAAACCAGCCAGGGCCACAAGCGCAATTTTTTAGATAAAAATAAGGGCTGTTGGTCTGGAGAACGAATCAGAGGCAGAAGACTGGAAACGTGATTGATCAGGGAACTACAATAGCCCAGAGAGTAGAGAAGGTAGGGATCAGTGGGAGAAGAAAATTATGAGTTTGAGAAATAATTAGGAGCTGGAATAAGTGTATTTAACCTTTCACCGCACTACTTTCCAAAACTTGACTAGACTGTGAGCATTATGAGGGCAGGACTGGATCCAGTTTCTGCCACGGGGTAGTGCCAGTTCAGTGCCTGGCACAGGGTAGGTACTCAGAAAAGCACACGGTAACTGGATAAATGAGAACGTACTGTTCTTTTATTGTATCTCCCACCCAGATGATAAAACCCATGCAAACAGGCTCTGTGTTTTGTAGTCGTGGGTTCCATTTCCAGGGGTGTAGAACAGCACTGTGGACAGGGGGCAAAGAGTGTAAACATGTAAGCATTCACTGGGCTGTACACTTTATTGTATACACTCTATGTGTAACATACATCTCAAAGAAATAATACAGAAACGCAAAGGCCTCTCCAGTGGGCCCCAAATGCACCTGTGGGAAGCTGCTGTGGGAAGTGTCCTTGCATCCTGTGAGGGACAGAGTTAAGTTGTAGCTTAACCGCTGTTCTGCGGGTTGACTGCGCCCAGCTGAGCAGTTCTGCGCGTCTTGCTTGGGGTTCCGTCAAGCGAGTGCAATCAAGGGGTGACATTCACACACACAGGAGCACCCACTCTCACATGAAGCTAGAGAACCCCCCACACATACATAGGCACACACCCCAAAAGGTAGCCACTATCTGATCTCCATCATCACCCTGGTTCCTGATTGATCTGTCCTCCTGCACACAAGGACTCCAAATCCTCACAGTTTGGTCCAACAAGCACTGTTCTGATTGGTCAGAATGGAGCCACTCTGATTGGGTGGTAAAGATGGGCGGGAGGCTCTGATGGCAGTGCAGCTCCAAGTGGACACTGGGAAATTCCGGTCCTGTCAGTTGAAATGCTGTCCCAGGAACTGCTTCACAAGGGCCACCCCAGCTGGCAGGCACTCTTGCAGGCTTTCCCCTGAAGCGTGGCTGGCGTGAAAAGTCTGTTTGGCAGTGGCCGCTAGGCTCTGTTTTTAAATTTGAACCCAGTCATCCACCAGGAGCCCTTCTCAACAGGGACATTGATTCTCAGGGTCAACATAAGCGTATGTTTAACTTAATACGAAACTGCCGAACAGTTCTCCCAACCTGAGAGTTGGCTCACCCCTCACCCTTTCTCTTCTAATGATTGACAGTAAGATTAACCTAGGAGGACATGTAAACTCTACAGAGTCCCAGGGCCCTCCCACTGAGTCTCCAAATCAGTGGGGATTTTTTTGGAGCTCAGGAATCTGGTTTTTTTTTAAATAAGTGTGGCAGGCAGGATTCCTTATCTTTAGGTAAGTTTTAGAAACAGTGAATGGAGTCAAGGTTCTCAAATCCTGGGGGATTTAAAAAATACCTATTTCTGGCCCCCATTCCCAGATATTCTGATTTAATTGGCATTTGGAAAAGCTCCTTGGGAGGGTCTAATGTCCAGCAATTGAAGGGAGAGTGGAGAGGAAAAGGCTTTGAGGTCAGACAGACCTGGGGTAGTCCCAGTAGAGGTCACATCTCAAGTAGCTGTTGCTGCACAGAACT